CCCCCACCCCCAAAAAAAATTTTAAGTTTGTTTTTAAAAAATATTTTCAACTTCAAATTTTTATTTTTTCACCTCGACCCCTCCTCCCCGCCTCGCCAGCCCCCCTATCACCCCCCAAGCCCCCCACCCCAAAAAAAATTAAGTTTGTTTTTAAAAAATATTTTCAATTTTAAAAATTATTTTCTAATCTAGTAAAAATAAAAGATATTTCTCAAAAACATTTTTCATTCATAAATCAAACATCAAAAAAATTTCCTAAAAATATTTTCTACTCACTACTCACCAATGAAACATGAAAAATAAGTCAAATCTACTTGTTTTCCAAGAAAACATTTTCTAGGAAAACATTTTGCTTCATACCAAACACACCCTTAAAGATTCTTTTTTTTTCCTTTATGAGAATAAAATCAATTAAATCAACAGAATCTGAAAAAAGTACAAAAAAAATGGTCATCCCCATTTGAGCCGTTACGCCTTCTCTCAATAAATTGCTTTCCTTTACAAGCACGATTACAAAAATCTTTCAACTTTTTCATTATTTTCTGTCTTTTTAAAGTCTTAAAAAAAGCATCTTTAAGATTTTAAAAGATATTCTTTATAGATAAATGATAATGATAACCTTAGGTATCAATTTATGTGTCATAATTGAGATTCAGAGAATCAAACTTATTAAACTCGATCATAAATTTGAACATAAAATATTTATATTTGGAAATTACGTAAAAATATAATAAAATATTATAAGTCATTATAAATAACATATCAAAATATACAAAACACATTTGAAAAATTAACATTAAAAAAACTTAATTGACTTTCAAATTCAAACATTTCCACATAAATTGGGAGGAAAGGAGTACTTAATTGTAACTACTAAAATTTGACAATAAGAAGTAGGCTTGTGAACATATTTAAAGTTGAGGTTGGAGGTTCAAGCCCACATTAATATTTAAGTAAAGAAGGTAAAATGGAACTCATCATTCTTAAATTTTGAAAGTATTAATAAAAATAGTTAAATGTGAACCAAGATTCATCAAATCATTAATATTTATGATTGCCTCATAAATATTTTTTCCATGTATTCATACAGTTCACACTAGCCCCTTTTTTTGTCCTACTTTATTATAAAGACCAAAAAATTACTTTGTGAATTTGGTAGGTTTTAGTTTGAGAGTAGCAAAAATGGAGTTATACAAATTTCATGTATTTTTGGCTATGGTGGCTGTCTTGTTTCTTTTTCCAGTAGTTCATGGATGGGGACTTGATGGTCATTACACTGTTTGCAAGATTGCTCAGGTTCTAATTTTATTTTTATTTGTATAGATAGATCTTATATGTGTTTGTATCTGTTGAATCATTCATGTTATGATCTTCTGCACCATGTGTTATATATATATATGAATCACTCATGTTATGATTTTCTATATTGTACGGATTACTTTACCACTTAATTAAAATTTGTGTTGCTCAATCTTTTGTAAAATGTTATTGCACCATGCCTAATTTTTTACAAAGTCCCTTTCTCGGATTTGAACAGATGAGTTATGTCTTCTCCAATATATATATATAAATGATGTTATTTGTATAGAAAGATTTATGTGTTTGTGTCTTTTGAATCGATCTTGTTATGTTTTTCTACATATCGTGTGTTACTCTATAACTGAGTTAAAAACTATGTTACTCAGACTTTCCTACATATTGTTGTACTCATCTCAAATCCTCCAAAAAAAATTACAACATTTTTGAAGAGTCTGTGCAATATAGGTTAATGGCCTTTCAAAATTTTGTTTTTTGATTTCTTACATTGTATTTGTGACATAATTTTGAATTTTTATTATATTTGTGACAGTCAAGATTGAGTAAAGCTGCTGCAGATGCAGTTGAAAAATTGTTGCCAACATCAGCAAATGGTGATTTGGCAAGTGTGTGTATATGGGCAGATCGTGTTAAATTCCATTATCATTGGTCATCACCTCTTCATTACATTGATACCCCTGATAATCTTTGCAATTATCAATATAAAAGTAAGTACTAACTTCGATATGTCAGTAGAAAATATAGAAAACTTCTAGTACTTATATTACGTTGATAATATTGGTACAAAATGTGTTTAATATGAACAGTAAAGATTTTTATAGTCGATTCCTAACTTGTTTGAGTCAGAGAAGGGGTGGAGCTAAAGGTAGGTCAAGGGGGTTCAATTGAATTTCTTTTTGCCAGAAAATTACACAGTGCAAATAGAGCAAAAGTGGTAGTGATGATTGACTAATTATTTTGTAACATGTATAACGCCAGTAGAAAATATAAAGAACTTCTAGTACTTTGTTTTTATATTTTACAAAATTGGCCAAGGGGAGCCTTGGCACAACGTTGAACATTATCTCTTTAGTGATGAGGAGGTTACGAGTTCAAGTCACTGAAACAACTAGTTATTGAAATGCAAGGTAAGGCACCTCACAATTGCTGAAATTTAGGGTACCGGACTGTCCTTGAAATATGATTAGTGAGGATTCACGTAGCAGACTTGTTTGGCACTAATGCGTAATCGTTGCTATTGTTATATACAGGGGACTGTAAAGATGAAGATGGAGTTGAAGATAGATGTGTAGCTGGAGCAATTTACAATTACACTAATCAGCTCCTCAGTTATAACAAAGGCAATGGTCATGTTTCAACATGTAATGTTTATTCTAAATCTTTCTTGTTTTATTCTTCTAATAATATTCCAATCAAGTTGATAATACTAATAGAAATTTAACTTGTGTATTTTTTGAGTAAATATCAGATAATTTGACTGAAGCACTCCTCTTCCTTTCTCACTTTTTTGGGGACATTCATCAGGTAAATATGTTAAATTTTAAAAAGGCGTAATACATAAACAAACAATCAAACTTGGTCTCAACTCAGCTGACAAGGAAACACTCTAACACGTCTCCGTTGTGTCTCATGGACACCTGACACTGCATGGCACAAAACGTTGGAGGTGTCTAGATGATCATTTTGTAAGTTGTAGTTGTTCAACTGACACAATGGAGACGAGTTGAGATGTCTAGATATACATACTCAGAGTTGGAGTGCTTGACTGTCAGTTGAGGTCAAATATGAGTGTCTGTTTATGTGTTACGTTGGTTTTGGCCCTCAATTTTCACCCTGTTTTTAGTAGTGTTGAGATATGAATTTTTTTTGGTTCATATATGCAGCCTTTGCATGTTGGATTTACTTCAGACAGAGGAGGCAATACAATAGATGTTCATTGGTACACTAGAAAAACAGTTCTACATCATGTAAGTTTTTTTTTTTCTATTGACAAAAACAAACAATTTCCATATCCACGTTATGTTTTGCTGAAACTAATGTTGTTTGTTAATAGGTCTGGGATTCCAACATAATCGAAACTGTAGAAGAACGATACGATGATTCTAACGTAGATGAACTTGTTGATGCAATTCAGAAGAACATCACGGTACAAACAATAGCTCTTAAGTTCTAAACTATGTTGCTCGTACCCTCCAAAAATGCCTCTAGGTGTATGTCGGATCCTCTAAAAGTTATGAGCTTTTGGAGGATCCTAGCAACATAGCACCTTATTTTATCTTATTTTGCTCGGACTTTCCTAAAAGGCTAGTGCAACACCCTTGTCAGATCCTCCAAAAAATGCACTAGTTTTGAAGGATATGACAAGCACCTTTCGATATGTTTGAAGAGTTTGATGATATTTATCAATCGTCATATTCGTAACGAGTTTCGTCTTAAACAGACAGGATGGGCTGATCAAGTAAACTCATGGGAGAGCTGCAGTGGCAACAAAACAGCCTGCCCTGATATGTATGTTTATTCAACAAATTTGAAGTTTATGAGTTCTAAAAGTTTATAATACGTACATATTCACTAGATTTCTCAAAAACATATTTAGAACCTACAAGTTTTAAATCCTGGCTTCGCCTCTGTCTCGTTTGATCATAAAGTACTAATAAAGAATTTGTTGCTTCCTATAGATATGCAAGTGAAGGTATCAAAGCTGCTTGTGACTGGGCATATAAAGGAGTGAGTGAAGACTCTACATTAGAAGGTAAATTACTAATAATTTCTTCAATAAATTTTATTCAAACACGCAAATTTTAACTCTGTTGAAACGCGTACATATGGAGAACAGATGATTATTTCCTATCGCGATATCCAATAGTTCAATGGCGTCTAGCTCAAGGTGGAGTCCGTTTAGCTGCTACACTAAACCGTATATTCAAATGAACAACGTATTGTAAACAAGATCATTTTCTAGCATTTATTGTACAACATTGTTATTTGAACTAAAACATCGTTGTATTTTAGTAAATCTTCATAGTATCTAATGTTTTAAGATATTTTTATCGACTATATAAGTCAATTACGCGATGATTTTTAGTATCACACTTATGTTGTGCCCCTCAATTGGCACGATCTGAGTCATGTTGCTCAATTTTGATCAATCTAATGTAGTAGGGATCGGGTTTATTGATGTGAGGTGGATCCAGAAAAAGGGTGGGTGGTTCTAGTTATAATCCTGAAAATTAAAGTAGGCGATAAAATGTAGAGAACGTCTAATATTAATTTGTAATATTGAATTGAGTTTAAATAAAGAGATATAGATTGTGAAGATTCATCTAAAAGTCTTCTAACTTCTCTAGAATTAAAGCATAGTAGTAGTATTTGTAAGTATTCTTTATTCTAATTAAAAAAACACTATAATTGTTAAAACGAAAGTGAATAAGAAATCATGATAAATTACTATAGAAAACATAACAGAGCATTCTGAAAAAAAGAACAGTAACAAAGGATTGATTATACTGAGTATGTTATTGTTGTTGAACTGTAACAAAGAATTATAACCGAAACGGTAAAGAAATAGTGTTGCACAAAAATACAATTTAGAATTTGCATTTTGATATCTCAAGTACATGAAATTTTTGCATTATAATCTTAAAATTAATACTTAATATAAGATATGGTTAAACTTCACTATCTCACATAATTGAGCAAGAATTAGGATTCTCATCGCTAAAAATTTGAGGAGCATAAACAAATTGAAGATAATCATGTTGGCAATTATTGCAACATTTTTTAATATCACATGAATTTTTATCACATAATGTTTTTTCATTTTTCTCTTTGTCAATCTTCTTAATAATTTCAGCATGTCTTCCTGTTTTTTTGTTGATGAATTCTACTAGTTTTTGTGGATCCATTGATCCTTTCACTTTCACAATATTGTTCTTCATTTCTGGATCCACTGTTTGAACTCCTATTCATACATCATTCACAAAAATAACAAATATTTGTTTTTTACTTAGATGGATTCTAGAAAGGCATATAGGAAGGAATGGAGATATCCGAAATAAAGAAATCGAATATGAAAGAAAAGCAAGGTAAAATTATTTACATCACAAGTAAAATCTATATGATGCGAGTGTTAATTGGTAACTCTATTGAATATGGTATAGTAGTAATGCTGGAATTAGTTATATTGACATTATTTTTTATGGATTGTTTAATTTGCAATCAAAATAATATGACATAGTTTCGAAATAGTACTGAATAGGTGTACTAATAAAAATGATAGTTGGCCAGTTGGCCTACTATAATTAGTTAAACAATACTATTTAGGTAAAAAATAATAATTATGCATCGTTAGTATATGCAACTTAAATTCATTAATCAATTGTTTTTTTTTTTTTGCTTCAAAATCATTACCAATAATTTAAAAATAATATCTATGGACATGGCTAATTATGAGAGACTAAAATAATATATGTACCTGGCATTTTGTGAATGCATTGCTTGACATCTTTAGCACATCCTTCACAGTGTAAATATAGTTTCAAAATCACTTCAATAATCTTAGGCTGCATCCCCTCAAAAAAGATAGATTAGTAAATAAACATAAATTTTAAAAAAGCTCGGTGTACTAAACTTTTTGATCCGCTATATGTAAAATTCGTAGAAGGGCTTGACCACAATCCACAAGGATGTACAATCATATATTTTTGCAAGAAACTATTTTCACAATTCAAATCTGTAACCACAATTCTACCAGCTACGAAAAGTTATCCTTATTTAATTATACCTCTTGTTTTTTCTCCTTGTTCTCTTCTTCTTTCTTCTTAGATGGAATTGGAGAAATTAATTCCACATGTTTACCACTTTTTTTCCTTAGTCTCTCAGCCACATTTAGAGGATCTAATTTCTTCCCTTTCACCACCACTTTATGATTTTTCTCGTCAATCTCAACTTCCTCCACACCTAAATTTGTGAGTAAAAAAATTATAATTAATAAAAGAAAAAAAATGAAGAAAAATGATGCAGGAGAATATCATGGTCAATAAAATAAGTGAAAATCATAAGAAATCCAAATTTATATTTCAGTATGAGAAAAAGAAAGGTACATAGGTAATTTCTCACCATTTGCCTTAAACCTTTTTGTCTAAAGTATAATATATATGAGTTTATAGGAACTCAATATGTGCGTTGCGACTTTAATTAAAAAAAATATGTGCGCTGCTCAAATTCCCTATATATGTAAGAAATTCAGTAATTTTTTTTAAATATTTAGCTCTAAACGTAATTATTATAATATACTTTCATTTTACTTGTGATCGTGATAGAAATCTAATATTTTCAAATTTTGAATCCATTTGTAATTATTCGATATCTATCTTGATTAGAGGTAACAAATATCTGATAAATTAATCGTGATGGGTACAAAATTGAACATCCAAAAACTAAATGACATAGAAAAAAATCATACCATCAAAGCCACGAAGAGATTTAAGCACTTGTTGTTTACATCCCTGACAATGAATATAAACACCCAATATGATAATAATTCCTTTTGAATTATTCTTATTTTCTTCATTTTTGCACTCCTTCTCCTTCATTTTCTGCAAAAATAATTAATTGCTTATCAAATTCACATAATTCACTAAAAAAAAATTAACTATAAATTCCGTCACTAAATAGCTCGTCAATAACATATATTTGTAGCAATCCATTGCTAATCATTAACCACCACTTTTTGTTGTTTAACGATAGAAGTTATCCATCGTTAATTCCTAATTTTTGTATCTAATTTAAAATTGCAAAGGCAATTATATTAGAAAACTTCAGTAGTAATACCTTTCCTATTTTCTCTGTATTTTCATGAACAAGATAAAAAAAAATGATTTTAAGTCCTATGCATATGAGTTTGGTTATTTATAATTGCAAATTAAATTCACCTCTTTATAGAAAGTTTATTATTTACAAGCCAAATCCAAAATTAGTTGCTTTTGATATAGACACCGAAGATTTAAAAATAAATAAAAGTAATGTTGTAATACTCCATTTGGTACTTAATTACTGAAATAGAATAATGATAATCATTCGATTAATTAACAGAATTTTCTGTAAAAGGGAATTGTTGAATGCGTATAAGATATTATTTTATTGTATACTTTATTTGGTTTTGGAATATTGGTTAAGAAATAATTTAAGACAATCAAGGCAAGAAATAATATTACAATGGAAACTCTATGGTTAAATGTCAACTTTTAGCTTTCTTTAAATTATAAATTAACCAAACAAGCGTTACAAAGCTTATTATTTCTTTAAAATAAGGACAAACAATAGTGAAACGTCATGTCTAATTAGGTGAATTGTGTTCGAAATATTGTAATGATATCTCTTCATACACCTGATTATTTGATATATTAAATGAAACCATTAAATATGTAGTGACATAGTTTATCGTTATTTGAAGGGAAAACCAAGCTTTTCTACATCATCAAATAACTAAAGAACAATAGAACGACGTACCAACCTTATATGGTGTGGACGGGTAATTAGTTATTCATGGCATTATTCCAATACATCATCTTAACGTACGGTTCAGAAATTAATATCTTTCAATATTTCCAGGTACATTTGAATCGAATAAGAGACCACACATGTAACACAATGAGGATTTCAATAGCTATTCCTTTGGCATGTGTATAACTAGAGCTGTCAATATGGGTTGGTCCACCCCATCCGGGATAACTCATACAGGCTTTGAAATTTGACGGGTCAAGCCGAGCTAGCCCATTTTTGGTGTGGTCCAAAAAATGGTTGGCCCATCCCACAAGTATGCATGTGGGCTATGGGCTTGCCGGGCTAGCCCTCTTTTCTTAAAAATATATTTTTTTATAAATTTTTAAATTAAATTATAATTTAAAAATATTATCATAAATATCGACAAGATATATTACATGGTGTTAGTGTTACTACTTGTTTATCAAATCCACAAATAAAATTATCTTTATAATATTTATTAAGTTTGATTTCAAGTAAAAGCATAAATAGCTAAATAAAAATATTAACTTAATTGTTTTCCAAAATATTAACTATGTAGTGATTCCTAGAAATTTTAGGGAATTTTTATTTTATGTAGTACATATTTTATAAACGTATTTGTATTTAAATTGTCATATTTCAAATTTTAAACAGATTTTGAGTTTAGACTCTTGTTATTTTTAATACTCTATTGTAATTTGTATTTTTATTTTTAATTAATTTTTATTTGGCCCACGGGCCGGCCCTATCCATATTTCTCAAGCCCCACAAATCGACAGGCTTATTCAGGCCGGGCTAAAAAACTCTTTTCTTAAATGGGCTCCAAAAATCGTAGCCCAACCCTATCAAATTACGGATTAGGCCAGGCCGGCCCAACGGACCTAGCCCAATAGAGAAAATACTAGTGAATTTTCAAAGTAGTGTATTGTGTTTTATTAGTAAGCACTACTATTATCTAAACCACGAGCTATAGTTCCGATTTATCTTGCTCAGACTTTTCATAAACATTGTTGGATAAGTGTCAGTTCAAAGTAATGCATTTTTCGATAATCCAACACGAGCGTGACAATATTTTTAAAGAGTCTGACAGAAAACGATGTAATGACATCCAACATTATTGCTTATATAGTGTCTAAGTTCACTATACTAACTGTTGAAATGGGCTGGACTCTTTTTACCAGACCTCTGGCAAATTCAGCCCAAAGATAAATGGGCTTTATTTATATGACCCAATCATTATATGGACCACGAAACACAATTTTATGTTTGTTATATACTCCCAAGGCTTCTTTTTTGTTGTGAAAATTTCTAATATGACATATATTATACTAATATTTTCGAGTTATAGCAGTAGATTTAGACTTTCAAGTTATAACATTAAAAATTTCAGGTTGTAACATATTATTAAAAAAAAAAATATTTTAGTAATTAAAAACATTTGATTTAAAAAGAATAAAAAGATAAAAAAAAATTAAAATAAAACGTTTTTGAAGGAAAAAATGAAAAAAAGGGAAATAGGGATTATCTTAAATTTGAGTTAATTTAAGATAATTATTAATTAGCATGAATTAAGGGATTTCAAACTAATTAAGAATATTCAGTTTCCTTAATTCACTCCAATTTGTTAAAATTAATTTAAAAATCAGATTTTATCCATTTTTCTTTCACGTTTCTCTCTCTTCGTTTTTCTTCCAGAAATTGTCACTGGCGACAAATTGATTTTTTTTTTGTTGAAAAAACGTGTTTTTTTTTGTGATGGACAACTACGTATCAATATTAATTAAACATGGCGGAAGATGGGTTGCTTCAGGTGAGTATTTTTAATTGTTTACTATTTTTATTTGGATTTCAATGAAATAGAAAAAAAAATGAAACTGTAAATCGCCACTATATTGAATGTGATATTTTTTTTTGTATAAACAATACGTTTTGTTCATAATACTTATTAGTTGTTGTGAAATTGTAATATTAGTGATTTTCTTGATAAGTTTCTGTTTTTTGGTAGTGGTTTAGTGTCACCATATTATTGATAACTGATTTTTTCTTGGTAAGTTTCTGTAATATTATTGATTACTGGTTTTTTTCGTGAAAAAATGAATTAAAATGTATAGTTTTGAATGAATTTGTTAATGTAATTGTAATTAATTTGGTACGAAAGTGTATTGAAGAATTGACAGTTGTTTTAAGTGGGTATGAAAGTGTGTTAACTAGTTAATAAAAAAAGTTATTTTGAAGTTTGAATAAGTGTATTAAAAATGTTTTAAGTTGGTATGAAATGTGAAATGTTATTGTTTATATAAGTTTTGTCAATTATGTATAAATTTGTGTGAAAGGAATGAACTATTTGGTATGAGAAATGTATAAATTTGGTATAAATGATGATTGTATGTATGAAATTTGTATTAAGTGGTATGAAACTGAAATTTTATTTTTTAATGAAATATGTTTGTAGTTTACTGTTTGAATGATTTTTGTATGAAAAAATAATGACAAGTGTGTATAATTTTGTTTTTTTTTTGTATTATGTAAGACTAATTGTTTTTTTTTTTTAATGAAACAGGGAAATATGTTGATTTTCAGATGGAGGGGATTATATATGAGTATTCTAGTCTTTATAGTGGTCTAGTAAGTGCGATAACATCGCAACTAATGATAGATGTTAATATTCACAATATAGAGATGAAATATATAATTAGTGATAGATGTCCCCCTGTTAGTATCCACAATGATGTTGGTGTGCGGGTTTTTTTAGATCAAAAGAAAGCTAATGTAGATTTCTTTACGATTTCATATACATGGAAATAAAATTTATTCCAAATTAATATATAAGATAGTGTAACTATTTGTACAGGTTTCCGATTTCAGATTTCAGATTTCATATACATGATTCATTAATTATTCATACAGATTTCATATACTAGAAAATAAAATTTATTTCAGATTAATATATAAGATAGTGTAAATATTTGTACAAATTTCAGATTTTTGATTCCAGATTTCATATACGCGATTCATTAATTATTTATACAAATTTAATATACTTGGAAATAAAATTTATTCCAGATTAATATATAAGATAGTGTAAATATAGTGTAATATATAACAAACTTTATACCAATCTTATTCAAGTTTCATTCCAACACGAACTTCAGTTTATATCACACATATTATACTAACAATAAATCAATTTCATATAATCACACAATGTATATCATTTGTATAACAATATTATATCACAATTAATACAATATCCAACCATCAAACATTAAATTGAGTGTCATACACATATTAATCAAATTTCACACACGTTTCATCCATTAATTGTACAATTTGAATTCACACTGATATTTTAAAATAGTGAATCCAAATGGTATGAAATTTGTATATTACTAGTATCCTGAAATTATAATAGCCAAACAGCAATTCATCTGTAGATGGTATCTGATTGGAAGGAAACATATGATATTATATATCATCAAATACTTAAATACAAAAAAGTTGTTCAAAAGTAAAAACAAACAAACATGTAATTCTAAAAAAGTAGAAGGTGCAATCAACTATTTCAAACTTCTTGTACGTGGTCTTGGTGTAGGATAATTGGTGGAATCCGGAACATGTTCTTTTGCTATGCGAGGTCCACCAAATTTGGTAGCAATCGTACCAGTAACTTCACTCTCACTGATCGTGCCATTCTCACTCTTTGTATATACAGTTAATAGACAATCACACTACTGTTAAAACACAATTCATACCATTTGTATACCACTATTATATCACAAATCATACAATATCCAACAATCAACTGTTTAATCAGAATCATACACATATTAATCAGATTTCATACACGTTTCATTCAAACAACTATTTCGAAAATAATATAAGAATAATGTGATATTTTTAGGAAAAAATCAGTAGTTTTAATAATGTGAAAATAAATTGAATATAATATTTACCCTAACAATTTTTTTCGTCTTTTTTAGGTGTTGGGACTTCTGATTCCTTCTTTTTTTTTTGGATCTTCTTGTAGATGGTTTTGACGACTGAGCAACTTCAACATTCATTATTTTTTTTCTTTTTTTCTTTTTTGATTCAGTAACAAAATCATAATCAGAATCAGAATCAAAAGGGGTTTCAACATTTTCCCCCTTCCTCTTCTTCCCCTTTCGATTTATCGGACTCACCCTTTTATTTAAGTCATTTTTTTCTGTTTTTGATCTTTCAATAGAGATGAATTACCCCTAGCCGGAGTTTCAACAATGTTTGGCAGCGGTGTTTGAGTCAAAATGTTGAAAGATGGAGCATGAACTTCATCCGTAGAAGTTCCTTCGACTAATCG